TATTCCCAAGAGAAAAATGTCTAGCTTGTATTGCATTGTTAAAATTACACACTCTTGGCTTCTGCCCCTGAAATAATCCTGAATGTAGTTGTTATTTAGGCTTAGGGCTTCCAGTTTAACAGGACAGCACTTCTCACTGACCACATTAAGAACTGTTTCTTTTATGGTGTTCACATGTCTGTCAGAGTAAAAGCCTGGTCTGCTGGCTTTGGGGAACCTGTTCTGCTAGACCAAGCAGGTCTGAGGCATTTTGGCACTGGACAGTCTAGCCACTTACCTGCTCCTTCCCATAGTAACCCCCTTCTCACATACATATCCCTCCATATCCTTCCGATGTGACTTATTCTCCACCTGAATATGGAGCCTATGGAATAACAATGGCAAATTTCGCCTTTTCACAGAGCCATATCCTCCTTTTCAGAGTAGCCAAGTGCTTGGATAGGCAGATGGTTTTTCTTTCACAAGTGTTCAGAGAGATACACTTAAGGTTAGAACCAAAGTTGAGAGAATGAAAATAGTGGAGGAAGATGTTTTCTCTTGACTCTCAGCCAAGGAAGAACTTCCTTCAGTCTTGTATGAAGATGTCCAAGTTGAGCTATAGAACCTTTCCAGGCCCGAAGTCCCTTTGGGGCAAGGACCCTGTTGAAAACACTTTTGGTATCGCCAGTGCCCAGCACATAGCTGGTGTTCCTAAGTGCTTGTTAAAGCACATGGATTTAAACAATATGTAACTTTTCAGTTTTTTCCTACTGATTGTGCCTTCCCAAGGAGGTATACTCGTTTTTGTGGTGTCTTAGGAAACATTTGTAACCTGCAGATTCCTTGTGTAGGAGAAAAGTTTTTTCTTGTGGCTAACTCTGACCCCCCCTTCCTTTTTATTTCATCCTTTCACCTTTCTCTTGCTGATGCCATGAGCTTATCTTTGGTTGCACCTGCCTTCATGTCTCCTCTATTATCTGGTGAATGAGGTGACTATTCTCCTGCAGGGTCCAATCCCGAGTCTGATCACATGGCTACTTTTCTTTCTACTCCTGTCTCTCCTGCTGCCGTCATTTCTTGCCAGCTTTCCCTCCTCTACAGCCCCTTAGTCTTTTGGAGATTTCTCTGCAGTTTGTGAATGTGCCTGCATTTATCTTAGTGACCTGGATCCTCTTTAGCAACGGCCTCTCTTTTCCTTTCACAGTCAGGTTTCTTGAAAGAATGATTTATTCTTGGTGTCTTGTGAATTCTCACTTCTCATTTACTTTCCAGCCTGTAATTATCAGTCAGCTTCTTTCTTCCTAAACTGCTCAGGCAAAGAACACTGACACTTTCCTAAAATGAAGTGCACGGAGCATTCTGCATTCTGAGTTGTTTTCTAGTCTCTGAGTCATTTGACAGCGTTGATAATTTCTTCTTGAAATACGAAACACTCTTCAGTTCTCCTGTCTCTAAGCATTCTTCCTCTCTTCTGCTATTGGCTCTCCTCTGCTTGCTCTGGAGTTGTGGTTTTTCCAGGCTCTGTTCTCTTCTGACACAGACCATCTATCTAATCAGTCTCCTGCCCCACTCTGGCTTCATATACTTCCAGCAGGCCAAGGATTCCCAAACTTCTGTCTGCAGCCCAGACATGCACCCACGTATACATCAGCATATCCCACAGGCACAAAACTTCACTCATCATCTTAACCCTCCCTGCCCCCACACACAGGCACATGCCTCCTCCTGAGGGCTTTATTTCAGTAAATGATTCCACTCTGTTCTGCTGTGTAATTCAGAGACCTTAGGATTTGTCCTAGATGCTCTTTTCTCTCCCTTCTCTCACCTCATTCAGGTCACTGGTATATCTTGTTAATTCTGTCAGATCTGTCTGTCCCTTTCTCTTATGTCCATATCTGCGGATCCTACCTCTACTCCAGCAGCTTCCTGCTTCCAACCCGCCCCTTACTGATCTGCCCCCACACAGCTTACTGCCACAAGTGCCCACTCTAACATGCAAATAAGATTACAACCTCCCAATTGTGTCCCATTACATAGAGATTAAAGTCCAGATTCCTTACCATGGAACCCAAGATATTTCTTGGCTTCTTGTTTACTACCTGTACCCTCATCGAATCCCTCCCTGACCCCCTGACCCAACTAAGCATTTTGTAGTTTCTTTAATGCCATGGTGCATGCTATTCGGTTTGTTGTTGTTGAAAATTATTTCTAGCCGGGCTCGGTGGCTCAGCCTGTAATCCCACGCCTTGGGAGGCTGAAGTGAGTGTATTGCCTGAGCCCGCGGGTTTGAGACCCACCTGGGCAACTTGGTGAGATCTCATCTCTACAATAAATCAAAAAATTAGCCAGGCATGGTAG